ATGAGAACACAGGGAGGTCCGGCTGCTAGTGTGTGGACGAGATGCTCAAGCATTGGGCAATCCAAGCACTAGCCATTTAACACAATGTCCCCTCCAGGAATTCCTGGAAGCCAGCGGCTGCACAATGACAGAAAAAGCTGGAGCATGGAACAAGAGCATGTGATAGCTGAAGGCATCAGCAGCAATTGGTTTAAGACAGCAGGGACTTCAAAGACATGGACGGTAGGAAGTTTTAGAAAATTAGTTTTTAAAAAAATGATTTAAAAGAAAAATACTTCTCCAGAGGAAAACATGTCCATCACCTAGGGACACTAGCTAAAAACTGGAGCCTCACAGAGTTTGTGGGTTTACATGGGTACATTCTAGAAGCAGCCCTAGCAAGTTTGTGCCAATGCCCAATTACCTGAAGATAGCCGCATATAATCCATGGTCTAAGAATACCAATCCTCTGTCCTGTACTGTAGGATTAAAATACAGAGTTAATATATAGGAAAAACCAACTGTAAAAAATTATTGAAATATTGTAATGGATTGCCTGTTGATTTCGCCATGATAATAGAGCAAAAACAAGGTGTGAAATTCCAAGGAAAACAAGCAGTTTTTTTTTTTTTAAGATGAGGTAAAAGGACAAAGAAAAAAAAAAAGCAACAGATTCCTATTTGATTTTACTTTTTATAAATATGTTTCATAGCTCAACAAAAAAAACTCTTAATTTTGAAAAGAAATAAGCTAAATAGATGTTCATAATCATTGGAAATAAACCAACAATGTATATAAATATTTCAAAACAGTCTATTAAGGATTTGTTTTAGCTAAGTTTTGCCCAGTAGTTTATAGTCACAATGCTAAAATATTAATAAAAATATATAAACATTTACATATATCACACCTTGTAAACTGATTGCTCAGCATTTAACTCTTGTCTGGGATAAGAAAAAATATGGCTCCCAGCAATCTTCGCAATGTAGAACATTGCTCTAAATCAGAAAGCAGCTGCTGACATATGGTGATTTCCATAAACTATTGATTATTGGAAAAAATAATAGATAAAAAATACATGTTGGCTAATGGCAAAAGTGTACAGATGATCTGGGTTATTGCATTTGGTGACCCAGGGGACAGTAAATAGCCATCTGTGTAGCACAGATGGCTTGCAAATTATGGTTACATTTCACACAGAAACTATATAAAATTCCTATATAATGTTTCAGTTCAAAACTACAAAAATATTTTAGCAACATAGAAAAACAAATTTAATGATTGCTCTATAAACCTGTGGTTGCAGCTAACGTGGCCTGAAAATGTAAAAATGTATTTTATGACACAATTTTTAAATTATAGCTGTCCATCTTCTGCCTATAACCACTCCATGGCAGCATCTTGAATGTTTCAGTGATCTTCATTTTGTGGCAGTCCACATAGGTGACATCAGAAGCTATTGTGTGCTTGTTCTTCTTCATTTTCATCTTGCGTCTCCACATTTTCTCCTTTGATGCCAGTGCATAATGTTAGGACATGAGATAATGTCACATTCCAATTCTGACCTTGCTTAAACTGAAAATAACACTAATAATATATTACAATCAATGGAGCTAGGCATTGCCAACTGTTACTGGTGGGGGACTGGATGGGAGCCCTAAAAAGAGAAAATAAAAAACAATACAATAAAAATATTTAGTGCAAGCTTAAAAAGACATCAAACAGTTCTGAATACAACCTTCAAGAATCAATATACAGCAGTGATTTTTATATGTACATTTTTTAAAATGGTGTACACTCACCTTCCACTTTATTAGGTACACCTGTTCAATTGCTTGACAACACAAATTGTTAATTAGCCAATCACATGGAAGCAACTCAATGCATTTAGGCATGTAGACGTGGTGAAGATGACTTGGTGAAGTTCAAACCAAGCATCAGAATGGGTAAGAAAGGGGATTTAAGTGACTTTGAATGTGGAATGATTGTTTGTGCCAGACAGGCTGGTCTGAGTATTTCAAAAACTGCTGATCTACTGGGATTTTCACACACAGCCATCTCTAGGGTTTACAAGGAATGGTCCAAAATAGAGAAAATATCCAGTGAGCAGCAGTTGTGTGGACGAAAATGCCTTCTTGGGGTCAGAGGAGACTGGACAGACTGGTTCGAGATGGTAGAAAGGTAACAGTAACTTGTCAATATGGACCAAAATCTCTGAGGAATCTTTCCAACACCTTGTTGAATCTATGCCACTAAGAATTAAGGCAGTTCTGAAGGCAAAAGGGGGTCTAACTCAGTACTAACAAGGTGTACCTAATAAAGTGGCCGGTGAGTATATTTTACAGCAGGCTATGTGGACAAGCAGTCAATAGTCAACATGTACAACACCTTAAACTGAGAATGAAACTAATAATTTATTACAAAGGAATGGAGCTATGCATTGCCAACTGCCATTGGAGGGGGGCTAGATTGGAACCCTTAGAAAGGCATTAATGACAATAACTTTTCAGGAATATGATTTTAAATTCTTGGAAGAATTATTGGTAAAGAAAAAATGACTGCCAAATGAAAAAATGATGGTGAGGTACTCAAGCCTGTTTGATTTGACCAGCATCTGTAAATGAAGTGGTCTAGGCACCATGTAATACAATACAATAACTGTGTTAAAGCAACCCTCTCACTACAATATTAAATAAGAGTTGCCTATAAAACTGTATTAAAAATGTATTCATTTAAAATAATTCCAATTTAAATAAGGTGTCTAAAGCCAAAATGTGTCTTATCAATGTGGACATTGGAATTGGTTTAAACCCTTATCAGTTTGTCATTTGCTCTCTGTGTCCTATTGGAAAAAAATTTCCTTTACATCCTGCCCTGTAGTCACAACAAATGAAAGCAAATCTCTCCAAAGTGACAGAAATCTCCTTTAGTTGTCACTAGATAAGATGCATCCATTGGAAAATGTGTGCTCTATTCCTATCCCAGTGACAACTCAAAATTCTGGATTTTTCCCTTTTCAAGAGATGTTAAACCTCCCTTAGCAGGGTCAAAGACTGCAGTAAAAAGAAAAATATTCAGGTATCAGCTGCACTTTATTTATACTTACCAGTCACACTGTTAGTGGGTCCAATCTATGTTCTCTGCCGTAATACACCTTCCACTAGGATTGTCAAATTTGTGTGCACTTCTAGGTGTGTTGGATGCCTGCAACTTCCTCCTGTGTGATGTAGTTTCAGACACTGCATCACTAGAGTCCCTACATGTAGAGGGAAGATACTGGCATCCAACAAAGCCAGAAGTGTAGGATACAAGTTAATGGCACCCGGGCTGTGTGCAGTCGGGAGTCATTTTCTTGTAGTCTAAGCTGATCCTGAGAAGCCTATCAGCACCAGCACACAGAGTTACCAGCCACAGGCCTCAACCTCTGGAGCATTAGAGTATTATAATTTTTTTTTTGTTTAGCCCACATCAGAAGTATACAATACTGAAGATTCCAGTTAACAGCAAAGATTGGACTCAGGACTGGTAAGTATAATTAATGTAGTTGTTTCCTTTTTTTTAAGGATATACAGTTGCTTTAAGCATGTTTATTTTAAACAAACCTTAAAGTAGTTCTAAAGCCTCAAGGTTTTTTAAGTTAATGCATTCTATGCATTACGGCAAAAAATCTTCTGTGTCACAAACTGGCCCCCTCACCTAACCCCCCCTTATACTTACCTGAGCCCCATGGTGATCCAGCGCCATGCAAGAGAGCTGCGGCTCTTCTGGCTTTGTTCCTCCTCACTGGGCAGATCGATAGCAGCGGGAGTTATTGGCTCCCACTCCTGTCAAATAAACTCCAGAGACGAGGGAGTGGGGTAGAGTCGAGTCCTGCTGTCTGTGTCAATGGACGCAGCAGCAAGACTTGGGAGCGAGCCCGCATGAGTGCCCCCATGGGAATTGGCTTTCTATTGGGGGGGGGCACCAACAAGAGAGGAGGAGCCAGAACTGGTGGGGGACCCGAGAAGAGGATGATTGATGCAGCTCTGTGAAATTCTATTGCACAGAGCAGGTAAGCATGACATGTTTGGTAGTTTTTTTTTTCCTTTACAATCACTTTACTCCAAATAGATAATTAAAGTGAGTAACTGAAAATAATGAAATGCTTTTAAAGAAAAGTCTTTATATACAGTTAGGTCACATATATTTAGACACAGGTACAATTTTAGATTTTTTCAGGTATTTACCAAAACATATTCAAGCTATAGTTATATAATAGATATGGGCTGCAAGTACACACTCTCAGGTTTAATTTGAGGGTATGTAAATCCAAATTGGAGGAAGGATTTAGGAATTACATCTCTTAAGAGTAGCCATGCCCCCTTTTTCAAGGGACCAAAAGTACCGTATTTTCCGGCGTATAAGACGACTTTTCAACCCCTGAAAATCTTCTGAAAAGTCGGGGGTCGTCTTATACGCCGGTGCGAGCCAGTCAGGGCGGCACTTTTTCGAGGGGCGGCGCCGCCCCCCCTCCTCCTCCAGCGGACACTAAGTACAGGGGTGGACAAAGGGGCTGCTGTACCTTACCTGGCTCCGGTCCCACGACGATCCGGTCCAGGAAGCGCGGCTGCTCCTTCTTTCAGTTCGGCTTTCTCATGGTCACGCGGCCGCTCGGCTCCGCCTCCTCACCGGTGATTGGGCGCCAGCACTGGAAAGGCACACAGGCGACCAATCACCGGCGAGGAGGCGGAGCCGAGCGGCCCCGCGAAAATCGAGCGGCCGCACTGGAAGAAGGAGCAGCCGCTCCTCTCCCCCACTGACACTAACGATGGGGCACTATTCCTCCTCCTCACTGACACCAACGATGAGGCACTGCCCCTCCCCCACTGATACCAATGATGGGGCACTATTCCTCCTCCACTGACACCAAAGATGAGGCACTGTTCCTCCCCCACTGACACCAACGATGAGGCACTGTTCCTCCCCCACTAACACCAATGATGGGGCACTATTCCTCCTCCACTGACACCAAAGATGAGGAGCTGTTCCTCCCCCACTGACACCAACGATGAGGCACTGTTCCTCCCCCACTGACACCAACGATGAGGCTTTGTTCCTCCCCCACTGACACCAACGATGAGGCACTGTTCTCCCCACTGATACCAACGGTGGGGCACTATTCCTCCTCCCCACTGATACCAACGATGGGGCACACTATTCCTCCCACTGACTAATGATGGGGCACTATTCCTCCCACTGACTAATGATGGGGCACTATTCCTCACACACTGACACTAATGATGGGGCACCATCATTGGTGTCAGTGGGAGGAATAGTGTCCCATCATTGGTATCAGTGGGAGGAATAGTGCCCCATCATTGGTGTCAGTGGATGAAATAGTGCCCCATCATTGGTGTCAGTGGGAGGAGTAGTGCCTCATCATTGGTGTCAGTGGGAGGAATAGCACCCCATCATTGGAATACCATACTGAAATACCATACCATATTGAAATCAAATCTGATGTTTTTTCATTTTTTTTTGGTGTGCGTTGGAAGAGGGGTAGTCTTATACGGCGAGTATAGCTCAAACCCTATATTTTAACAGGAAAAGTAGGGGGTCATCTTATACGCCCAGTCGTCTTATACGCCGGAAAATACGGTAATTGGAAAATTTAATATAATCATAAATAAAATGTTCATTTGTAATATTTTGTTGAGAATCCTTTACTGGCAATGACTGCCTGAAGTCTGGAACCCATGGACATTACCAAAGACTGGGTTTCCTCCTTTCTCATGCTTTGCCAGGCTCTAACTGCAGCTGTCTTCAGTTGTTCTTTGTTTGTGAGTCTTTCTGCCTTTAGTTTTGCATGCTCAATTGGGTTGAGATCAGGTGATTGACATGGCCATTGTAGAATATTCCACTTCTTTTCCTTCAAAAGCTCCTGGGTTGCTTTTGCACTCTGTTTTGGATCATTGTCTATCTGCACTGTGAAGCGCCGTCTAGTCAACTTTGCTGCAATTGGCTGAATGTGGGCTGACAGTATATCTCTAAACACTACAGAATTCATCTGGCCGCTTCTGTCACATCATCAATAAACACGAATGACCCAGTGCCACTGGAAGCCATGCATGCCCATGCCATCACACTGTCTCCACCATGTTTAACAGATGACGTTGTGTGCTTTGGATCATGAGCTGTTCCAAGCCTTCTCCAAGCTTTTTTCTTCCCATCATTCTGGTACAGATTAATCTTAGTTTCATCCGTCCAAAGAATGCTTTTCCAGAACTGGTCTGGCTTTTTTAGATGTTTTTTGGCAAAGGCTAATCTGGTTTTTCTATTCTTCAGGCTTATGAATGGTTTGCACCTTGTGGTGAACCCTCTTTATTTGCTCTCGTGAAGTCTTCTCTTGATTGTAGACTTTGACAATGATACGCCCACCTCCTAGAAAGTGTCCTTCACTTGTCTGGATGTTGTGAATGGGTTTTTATTTACCAAAGAGAGGATGCTGCGATCATCCACCACTGTTGTCTTCCATGAACGTCCATGCCTTTTTATGTTGCTGAGCTCACCAGTGCGTTCTTCTTTCCTCAGAATTGACCAAACTGTTGATTTGGCCACTCCTAATGTTGCTGCTATCTCTCTGATGGATTTGTTTTGTTTTTGAAGCCTTACAATGGCCTGTTTCACTTGCATGGACAGCTCCTTTGAACGCATGATGTAGGTTCACAGCAATAGATTCCAAATACAAATACCACACCTTTTACCTGCTTACTTGATGAAGAAATAATGAAGGGGTAGCCCAGACCTGGCCATGAAACAGCTTTTAATTCAATTGTCCAATTACTTTTGGTCCCTTGAAAGAGGGGGTTGGCTACTCATAAGAGCTGTAATTCCAATACCCTTCCTCCAATTTAAATGTACATACCCTAAAATTAAACCTGAGAGTGTGCACTTTCATCCCATATCCATTATATAACTGCAGCTTGAATATGTTTTGGTAAATACCTGAAAAAACTAAAATTGTGCCTGTGTCCAAACATACTGTATATGGACCTAACTGTATTGCGAAAATTATTTTACACTTGATTCTTAGATATAAAATTTTTAGATAATTTCGAATTGTGATAGCCATATACATATCCAAATTATAAAAGAAAATATCTATCTGATTAGATGGGAAGAAATCTGCTTCCACACTCTCTTTATGTTCTAAAATTGCATTAAACTTTTTTTATGCTTTCTTTTAACATAGTCCATAAAAATGCATAATTGTTCCATGCTTTTATTGATGGCTAATGTCGGATAACACTGCTAAAAAAGGACAGTACAAACATACGAAAAAAAAAGCTTTATTTCTTTCACTATAAACCTACAAAATCTACAGCTATCAAGGCAAGGAATGAAACAAGTATTCCTTTCCTGAAAAAATATATTTTATGAGACTGGCAAAAGCTTGTCCATAAAGACCCTGAATGTCTACATTGTGAGCTGTCAATGTGTAAACAGCAGAGAAGGGGTTTTACAATCCCAGGAGGATGTTGACTCTTATCACGGTCATTACTCTCTAAACATAGTTCAGTGAGTATTATTTACAAGTTCTTTGACGTTTTAGGCCTATGAGAAGCAGCCACAGATTGACCCATTCTGGTCCAGCAAAATGTGGAATGTGTTCCACAAAAGCCTTCAATAAAGAAAAAAAGAGTTTTCTTTCCTTAGGAACAAGTTATAAAAATGAAAGCAGAGATAAAAAAAATTAAAAACAGATACTGAATTTGTGTATCAAATCAGAAATTATAGCAGTACTAAGATAAGGGAGGTAAACTTGAAAAATTAAAAATGAAGTTACCGTATTTTTCGCTCCATAAGACGCACTTTTTTCCCCAAAAAAAGGGGGTAAAATGTCAGTGCGTTTAATGGAATGAATATGCAGCAGCCGCTCAGCTCTTCTCTGCAGCAGGACCTTACCTGTTCCTCGGTCCAGCGCTGTGCAGTCTTCCCACGCCGGCATCTTTAGTGTCGGCACCCGGCATGACAGGTCCCAGAAGATGCCCGGCCATTCACAAAGTGCAGCGCTTCAGCTGGGTGCTCACACTAAAAGGAGGACCAACTCCACAGAAGTGGGAGCGGGTACCTGTCAAATTCCAGTTCAAGCTCCACCTCCCTCCCCAAAGGTCCGCAGTCTCTTGGTCATCCCCTGTACTGTCCGCAGTCTCTTGGTCATCCCCTGTACTGTCTGCAGTCTAGTCATCTCCTGTACTATCTGCAGTCTCTGGTCATCTCCTGTACTGTCTGCAGTCTCTTGGTCATCCCCTCTACTGTCTGCAGTCTCTTGGTCATCCTCTGTACGGTCTGCAGTCTCTGGGTCATCCCCTGTACAGTCTGCAATCTCTTGGTCATCCCTTGTACTGTCTGCAGTCTCTCGGTCATCCTCTGTACTGTCTGCAGTCTCTTGGTCATCTGTACTATGTCCACAGTCCCTGGTCTTCTCCTGTACTGTGTCCGCAGTCTCTGGTCATCTCCTGTACTATGTCTGCAGTCTCTGGTCATCTCCTGTACTATGTCCGCAGTCTCTGGTCTTCTCCTGTACTGTGTCCGCAGTCTCTGGTCATCTCCTGTACTATGTCCGCAGTCTCTGGTCATCTCCTGTACTGTGTCCGCAGTCTCTGGTCATCTCCTGTACTATGTCCGCAGTCTCTGGTCATCTCCTGTACTATGTCTGCAGTCTCTGGTCATCTCCTGTACTATGTCCGCAGTCTCTGGTCATCTCCTGTACTATGTCCGCAGTCTCTGGTCTTCTCCTGTACTGTGTCCGCAGTCTCTGGTCATCTCCTGTACTATGTCCGCAGTCTCTGGTCATCTCCTGTACTGTGTCCGCAGTCTCTGGTCATCTCCTGTACTGTGTCCGCAGTCTCTGGTCATCTCCTGTACTATGTCTGCAGTCTCTGGTCATCTCCTGTACTATGTCTGCAGTCTCTGGTCATTTCCTGTACTATGTCCGCAGTCTCTGGTCATCTCCTGTACTATGTCCTCAGTCTCTGGTCATCTCCTGTACTATGTCTGCAGTCTCTGGTCATCTCCTGTACTATGTCCGCAGTCTCTGGTCATCTCCTGTACTATGTCTGCAGTCTCTGGTCATCTCCTGTACTATGTCCGCAGTCTCTGGTCATCTCCTGTACTATGTCCTCAGTCTCTGGTCATCTCCTGTACTATGTCTGCAGTCTCTGGTCATCTCCTGTACTATGTCCGCAGTCTCTGGTCATCTCCTGTACTATGTCTGCAGTCTCTGGTCATCTCCTGTACTATGTATGCAGTCTCTGGTCATCTCATGTACTATGTCTGTAGTCCAGTGGTTCAGAATATTTTTTTTCTTGTTTTTCACCTCTAAAACCTAGGCGCGTTTTATGGTCAGGTGCATCTTATGGAGCGAAAAATACGGTACTTTTTTTTTCCATTAAACAAAAATGAAACACAGATCAGAGTTAGTACATTTTCCATGTTAAAGGATAAGTTCACCTTTTTGTCAAAAAAAATAAAATGCACTTTTTTTGCAAGTAAAAATATGTGCATTTATTATTTTTGTCTGCAGAAGCCTGGAAAGCATTGCACCAGCGATCAGTAGATCACTGATGCCATGCAGGTCTCCTGCAGACCTGTCAGAATATCTGCTTGCCATACGGGATTCTGACAGGAAGCTTCAAAACTATTGAAAACTACAAGTGGACAGCTGCTAAAGCTGCTGGGACTTGTGGGCACTCATTCACAGAACTCTGTGACGTGGCCGTGTGGCCACACGCTGTTTTCAAATCTGACAGATAGTACGGGGATACAGGGAAATTTCTCCCTGTATTATCTGTCGGGGGGGGGGGGGGGTGGCTGCAGCTATGGGAACAAGTTACATGTCCACTCTAAAACAGGTGGTAACATGTTTCAAAGGTGAACTTATCCTTTAATCTAAGTGTAATACTAAAAATTAGGAACACTTCTGGCAGATGTATTTTTCAAATATCCCTTTTACCCATATAGGCCCTAAAAGTACTCATTATGCCAGCAGAAAACAACTGTTTTCATATGTATTGTTCTGAATAAAGAGAGAAGGATAAGAACCTCTCAGGTTTTTCCTGTTGCCCTTTGGGAAGATTCCTATATTTTCTATCCATGTGAGAAGGGGTCAGTGGACATGATGGGAGAGATTTCCAATGGAGACAGAGGCAGGAAAAAAGCTGCCTGCTATAAACTCTTTTGTCCAGAAGACTTTCTCTTTTGTGATTACCTTCACTTTCTAAAATCGGGTATGCATGTACCCAAATTCGTCTGGTTCAGCAGAAACCGGATACATTTTGGTTCATGTGTACCCTGTCTGTTCAACAGAAGCTGGTAGTTAGACTGGCTCCTGTCAAGTGGTAATGCTGGAAAAAAGCAGCCAGTGGAGGGAAGGGGGGTAGTTGCCTTCGCTGTTAGAATGGTTGAAAACAACACACAGTATAATCAGAGCCATCGCATCCCCAGCAATTTAAATGGCTGCCTCCAAGTCCTGCCCAGAGATAAACACGTATTGGGGGGTGGGATGGAGCCATGCTTGTGACGTCATCCCACGGCCATTTTGATTGCTGTATGGTGAAGTTTGTAACAAAGCCATGCATTTGTTTTAAAGTGCTATTCATAGTACTCAATGTGCTTTTTTATTTTTTGTTGTTTTAACCCTTTTAGTAACCTATAGTAAATACTATATACAGAGAGCACTATTGGTCAAGTTTTTTGCCTTTACATGCTTTTTATGAGTATAAGCTGTGTCTGCAGCGGAGAAAAAGTGTGCATCTCATCTCAGCAATAACACTGAGGGGGGATCTAGGGCAATTTGAGCTCATTTTCCACTCAGAGGTCAAATCCTGGAGGTGAGCAGTTTATACATATGTTATATATGGTGGACGGATGGATGGTACAACTCATTTTGAGACATTTGGAAGACTTTTGTCATCTTATGCACATTGGTGATTGAATGCACTTTATATGGACTTTATTTTTTATGTTATGGACATTATTTGATCACTCTATCAGTGTTTCAGCTAGCAACCCTTATTCATAATTTATGTGGTAAAAGTTTGATTGTGTGGCACTGTGCTGATTGCTTTTTGTATCATTTTAGTAATGGGTATAGCTAAAGAATAATACTGTAATAAAGAAGTAAATTCATTTAAAGAGAAGGGCTAACTGACAGTCTACCTATAGCAATAAATCAATTAAACAGTGAATTTCCGTAATTTAGTTTTGAACTTGCGTTAATTCCATGTAGTACTTTAAATATTCACAATCACATGTATTGATCATGTTTTACCTGGCATTTCAATGGCTTGTTGAGATCCAGAGTCAGCACTTAAAGACAACCTGCCACCTTTGGCCAACCTGTCGCACAGCAAGGTGATGTGTTTCTTCAATCAGCCTAGTAGTATCTTTTGGAATGCTCAGTTGGCTAGTGAGGTTTAGAGCCTGTTCTTTAGAGCTTTTGGACAGACATGTCCTTGCAAAAGATGAGACAGGGCTGCATCCCAGTCCTCCTCCCAACCCTACAGAAAACAGAGGGAAGAAAAGACAACCATGTAATTATACTCTTGAAATTCAAAAAACAAATTATTTTTGAAATATTTATTTCAGGTACTTATATAGCGCTGTCAATTTACGCAGTGCTTTACATATATATATTGTACATTCACATCAGTCCCTAACCCTCAAGGGGTGTACTTTGAAAATCCGATAATCTGATAAAGGATCGAACAATCTAAGGTCCCTAAGTCACATTCATACATACACATACTAGGGCCAATTTAGACAGCATCCAATTAACCTACCAGCATGTCTTTGGAGTGTGGGAGGAAACCGGAGCACCCGGAGGAAACCCACGCCAGCACAGGGAGAACATGCAAACTCCATGCAGGAGGCGCCATGGTCAGGAATTCAAACCCATGACCCGTTTACTGCAAGGCAGACATGCTAACCACTAAGCCACTAAGAGTTATGAATACATTAACAGTTGCAAGAAAAAGTATGTGAACCCCTTAGGATTACCGGTTTTGCATGAATGGGCATAAATTGTGACTCAAACATCATCTATGGGATTTCACAACAATAGTAGAACACAGTCTGCTGAACATAATACTACACAAACATTAGATGTTGCCATGGTTTAATTGCACATAAATGTAAACATTCACAGTGCATGGAGGAAAATGGTATGTGAACCTTTGGACTTAATAACTGGTTGACCCTCCTTTGGCAGCAAATACCTCAACCAAACGTTTCCTGTAGTTTGCAGATCAGACCTGCACAACGATCTGGAGTAATTTTGGACCACTCCTCTTCACAAAACTGTTTCAGTGTAGCAATTTATTGGGATGTTGGTGTGAATCGCTCTCTTAAGGTCATGCCATAGCATTTCAATCGGGTTGAGGTCAGGACTCTGACTGGGCCACTCCAGAAGGCGTATTCTGTACTGTTGCAGCCATTGTTTTGTTGAATTACTTGTATGCTTTGGGTCATTGTCCTGTTGCATCATCTCCATCCTCTGCGGGGGCTTCAGTTGGCAGACAGATGGTCGTACATTTTCCTGCAAAATGTCTTGATAAACTCTGGAATTCATTTTCCCATCAATGTTATATATCCGTCCACGGCCCTGAGGCAGCAAAGCATTTTGAGACATGATGCTCCCTCCGCCAAGATTCACAGTGGGGATTGAGGTTTTGATGTTGGTGTGCTGTGCCTTTTTTTCTCCACACATAGTGTTGTGGCAACCCTTATTCATAATTTATGTGGTCAAGTTTGATTGTGTCACCAAACAACTCAATCTTGGTTTAATCTGTCCACAGTATATTTTGCCAGTAGTGCTGTGGAACTAATCCAGGTGCTCTTTTGCAAACTTCAAACGTGCTGAATTTCCTTTTTGGACAGCAATGGCTTCCTCCGTGGTGTCCTCCCATGTACTCCATTCTTGTTTAATGTTTTCCATTATTGTAGATGTGTCAAACAAAAATGTTAGCATGTGCCAGAGAGCATTTCTGTAGGTCAAGCTGCCACTCTGGGATTCTTCTTTACCTCATGCAGCATTCTGCGCTGTGCTTTTGCAGTCATTTTTACAGGATGACCACACCTTGGGAGTGAGGCAACAGTGCTAAACTTTCTCCATTTGTAGATAGTCTGTCTTACCGTGGACACATGAACATCAAGGCTTTTGGAATACTTTTGTAACCCTTTCCAGCTTCATGCAAGTCAACAATTCTTGATCGTAGGTCTTCTGAGAGCTCTTATCTGCGAGGCATGGTTCACATCAGACAGTAAATTATTCTTGAAACCAGTAAACCCAAAACAGGTGTGTGAAATTTTTTAAGGGCAGGACAGCTGTCAGCAACACATCCAATATCACACACTGATTGGAGTCAAGGTTGGCTCACTCCTGGCTCTATTAGCTCTGGAAGGGAAGTCACAATCTAGGGCCCACATACACATTTTCCTACACCTGCACTGTGCCAATGTTTACATGTTATGTCCAATTAAACCTGGCAACATCTAATGTTTTTGTAGTGTGGGATGTTCAGCAGACCCTGTGAAACTTCTATTGCCAGTGACTTAGATGATGTTCAAAGCACATTTTTATGGCCAATTCAGGAATGCAAACCCTCCCGTTTATCCCAAGGCAGGCTAACCACTAACATACAATTTTTCTTGCAACTGTACATTACATACTTAGAAAGGTTACCATTTTTATTCATAGCCCACATAAAGAATGCCAGCAGTATAATGGTACTGATTCAGTAGCAAAAAGGGCTGAGAATTCAGTAGCAAATTATAAACATACCTAATTTCAAAAGTGATCACAAACTCTGAAGGGAGACATCAATAGGGCATGGGAATGGTAAATCTCAAGGCCTCATGAACAATGTGACTTAGGGATGAAAATACATTTTTTTTGGTCAAAATCAAAGATGCTAAAGATTGCTTTAGGTGGTCTAATTTACACATCAGTGGTTTC